CCTTTAAGATGCTGGTCAGAGATATGAGGGACACTTCTGGGGCGTTGTCATTCACGTCTTCAATCTCTATCAGTATTTTGCAGTGACCTGAAAGGCCCCCTCCATCTGTTGCTTTGATGTTTATGCTGTAACTCTTTTCTTTTTCATAATCCATCTGTCCGCAAACAGTGATTTCTCCAGTCCTTTCATTTAAAAAGAACAAATTACTTATTCTTTCTGGGACCCGATGGAATGAATAGAGGATCTGTGCATTTGAACCAAAATCAAGATCTGAGGCTTCCACCTTAATCACCAGAGTGCCCTTAGGAATGTTTTCCTTTATTCTTACCTTATATTCAGACTTACTAAACAGAGGAAAGTTATCATTATTATCCAGAACATTAATCACTCTGGTGATTAAGGTGGAAGCCTATGTTTTCCTTTATTCTTACCTTATATTCAGACTTACTAAACAGAGGAAAGTTATCATTATTATCCAGAACATTAATATTAATTTGAACTGTGCCTGTTTTCTTGGGCACTCCTCCATCAATAGCAGTTAGAATCAATTCAAGGTGTGGCATCATCTCCCTATCTAGTGATTTCTCCAGAACAAGATCTACATAGTGGCTTCCATCTTTGTTCCTTTGCACATCAAGCCTAAAATGGTCATTGGGACTGAGGGTATAGTTTTGGATGCTATTTTCTTCCAGGTCCTCATCGTGAGCTGATTCCAAGGGAAATGTTGTACTTTCAGGAACGTTCTCAGGGATGTCCACCACCACTTCCTTTTTACAAAACGTGGGGGCATTGTCATTCACATCTTCTATTTTGATTTCAATATTAAAGATGTCTAAGGGGTTTTCCAACACAATTTGAGATAGAAGTAAACAAGGGTCATTCTGGCCACATAAAGCTTCTCTGTCTAGTTTATCATTAATCAACAGATTCCCAGTATGAATATCAAGGTGAAAATATTCCTGAGTGCCATCAGAAACTAAATGTGCTTTGCGTGTTGAGAGCTCCCCTGTTTTCAGCTTCAAATCCTTAAGCACATTAGCCACCAGAAAACCCTTTTTCTTTTCTTCAGGGACAGAAAAGTGGATTGAGGTACACATTACTCTAAAGAATGAGAAAAAGAGAAGGAAATACAGACCTTGTCTTTTCCAAAAGCAATTTTCCATGATTTCAGTCTCTTCCTGGTAAGATCAAATTGTGCCCAAAATTCAGTTTCTCTGACTTCCTTCCTTTATCATTTAATTTTGCAAATCATTTTTAATTCTTCCTTATTCACTGTTTCGCCATCTTATAATCTGTATGTTTCACTGCAAAAGGATTGAATTCTTTTCTTGTTCAATTTTGTTAATAGCTTTCTTGTCCTTCTTGTCTTCAGAACAGAACTAAATTTCTTTGTTAATACCGCCACCATGTGGTTCAAGCACAGGAAAACATATATTCATGGTTTGGTCAAAGAATGAGGCAGACAAGATTAAGTCATAATTATCCTTCCACTATGAAAAGTATCCAGGTATAAGAAAGTTATTTTCCTAATTAGGTTAATAATGAGAAAAAGAGAGAGAGAACCTGCACAATCCTTTTTATGTGTTATTGATCTAGTCTAGTTTTTTCATGGAGAACTTTGGAATTCCTTGCATTACCACCCTTTCAGAATTAGTTGCTTACATTACATTTATTGGGGACCCAGAGAAGATTTGTAATATCCAGGAACTACCTCAGTATGTGGCTGTCTTGTCCCCCAATCTTTTCATGCTGGAAAAGTGCATTTCTTTCTCTTACATTCTCTGCATTATTCAAACATTTGGTCATTTCCTAACACAGTTTTAATTATTTTAGAGGATGTTCTTTATTGTAACGTTCCTCCTTTTTTCATCCCCTGCATGTCTTCACCGTGTAGATCCTAACAAGCATTTAAGCATTTAATTGCTTGTGCTCCTCAGATGAGCATTGAATGTGGGACATATTGCAAAAGCCACCATATTTATAATCCATATATTGATCACTCATTTAAACAATCTTTGTTTCACTTCATTTCTTCTTCCCACTTGTTGAAATTTCCTCAGACATTCATTCAGCCATCTACCAAATTCCAAAAATTTTATGACCTATTTTCTCTCAGGGGAATGGAAGATTTTTTTCAGATTTAGGGGCTGCTCATGTTTGGATGCAATGTGAGGAACTGGCAGATATTACCAAGACAAAAACTAAGTAGATAGTAGTATTATAGTTCATGAACTGGCCAGCAATCATCCCAGCGTCTCCCACCAACTGAACTATACATTTTAAAAAATGTATATTAATACGATAGCATGAATACCTGGATACCTGAACTGACTCAATGGAAAATTATAGTGAGGTACCTCAATATACATATTTCACTATTTTTGATTAATTCAAACTATATAGATTTATAACTTAATTAAATTAATAAATTATTCTCACCTGTGATATATGCTCTCTTTCCTCAAACTGATTAGGAAGATCACGGAAATCATTTCTAATCTGTGGTTCAGCAGTGTTTTTGGCTGCTCCATAGTAAAAACAGGAAAGAGAGGCCTAAGGA